CAAAATCAACAGGCCGAGTTTGCAAACTCGGCAAGCCGATTTTGAGACTTCTTATGATGATCGTACATGACGAAAGTGCTGTAAGTACCGAGTAAAAAGGATGTGCTCTTAAGATGGCTTAGAGCAAGTGTAGTTGGTAAGGGGGGGGGCCTACTACTACTACTACTACCACCACCACCACCACCACCACCACCACCACGACTACTACTAGCAGTAATAATAATAGTACTAATAATTATTATTAAATATAGCAGCAATTATTACTATTATTAGATATAGAAATAACTACTATTATAAACTATATTAGTATATTGAATAGAATAATTCTGAACGAGTTGTGGTCTGCTCCAGGAGGCGGCTGCTGAACAGTTCTAGCCCACACCCGAAGAAGGCCCACGATGCGACGCAGAGGGCTACGGCTTAGGGTTTAGGGTTTATAGGGCCTATGGTTTAGGGTTGTGTTTAGGGTTTAGGGGTTTAGGGTTTAGGGTTTATAGGGCCTATGGTTTCGGGTTGTGTTTAGGGTTTAGGGGTTTAGGGTTTAGGGTTTCTCCAAATTCGGGTCTCCTTCTAGGTCCCCAGAATGGTACGGCACCCACATAAAAAGGGCCACTAAAAGAGACCCTAAACCCTAAACCCTAAACCCTAAACCCTAAACCCTAAACCCTAAACCCTAAACCCTAAACCCTAAACCCTAAACCCTAAACCGACCAACGTCTTCCGGCGCAGGCCTCGCTTCTGTGCTAGTTGCATTACTGTCGCTCTGACATATTGCTTCGTGTAATATGGGGGCCTTAATACTTCTAATACGGCTTGGGGCCCATTATACTATAATTATAAAAAGGAATCCCCAAAATAGTGTTGGTAATTATTTAGGCCCCTACAGTACGGGCGCATCTGCTTGTCCGAAGCGACTCATGTTTTTGTTGTGGCGCAAGATGGCTTCTGCTGGTACAAAACGGCCTAGCACCATGCTGTCGGCGGAGGCCGTTGATTCGTACCTTCGGGGCGACAACGTGTCCTTCACCGACCTGCTTGATTTCAGACAGGACTTTTTGATGAGATGTCAAAAGTATATGGGCATGGCTATGGCACTTCCTTAGTGCAGAGGTCTTTGGATGCCTTCCTACAAGCTGCGCATTACATTGCGATTGCATGCACGAGGAGGAAACTCCAGGTCTTCGCACCACCCGAAGCCCTAAACCCTACAATCCACTCTTCCTTGTGTTTTTTTTTTGGATTTCGGGACTTTTGGGGACCTGTGTCTTTGCAGTTGCGAAACACGAAACCCTAAACCCTAAACCCTAAACCCTATACCCCATACCCCAAACCCTAAACCCTGAACCCTAAACCCTAAACCCCCAACCACGAAACCCTAAACACCAAACAATAAACCCTAAACCCTTGGAAAAAACCCTGAACCCTAGATCGTCCAAGCCCTGCCTCCGAGCTACAAAAAGGCAGTTTCGAGTTCGTCAGCTCTCCTGACGGATCTTTTTTCGACACACTACGGTTTAAGGTTTTTTTGGTTCAGGGTTTAGGGTTTGGGGTTTAGGGTTTAGGGTTTAGGGTAAAGGGTTCGGGGTTTAGGGCTTAGGGTTGAATGCTTGCAGGGCCTGTCTGAAACCGCGAAAGCACAAGCATCATCAGAACTCTTCTCCAGGAGCTTGCAGGCTGCACTCACATTTCGCATTCTTGCGCCGTACATACAGGGGCTTTTACAAGTGGGAGAGGGTTTTGGGGTCACATTGTAGTACACGCACTAGGGCTATAATGCCGAATTCTTAGTCATTCAGACCTCCGTACTCGACTCGTTAGACCGCAACTCCACCAACAACAACCCTAAACCCTAAACCCTAAACCCTAAACCCTAAACCCTAAACCCTAAACCCTAAACCCTAAACAACTGAGAGGCCTGCTTGCTGTGGTTCTGGTTGCTGGAAGTCCTTCTCTGGCTGATCTGCTTCTTGAAGTCCATGTTTGAGGCTCGGAAACCCTAAATCAAAAACGCCGAAACCCTAAACCTCCAGAACCAAAGCCCCCAACCCAAAACCCACAAGGCTAAAACTAAAATCCCCAACCCACAACCTCCCAAAGCAACGCCTCTGAGGGCTGTCGTTTTCGGGTTTGGATGCTGCCTCCGGGGTCACGGCTTTCAATTGCTGTTTTTTTTGTGCTTAGGGTTTAGGGTTTAGGGTGTTTTAGGTGTTTCCGGGATTTGGGCGCTTAGGGTTTAGGGTCGAGGTTAGGTTGCCAGCCTGATTGCGGTCCAAAATATGGTGGTTTAGGGTTTAGGGGTTTAGGGTTTAGGGTTCAGGGTTTGCGGTTAAGTGTTTAGGGTTTAGGGTTGCGGGTTTAGGGTAAAGTTTCAGGTTCCCTGATTGGTAGTCAGGTTCATCGATTTCAGGTTGTGGAGTCTGAAGGCCCGTAGGTAGAGAACTTGCCACATAGATAAGTAAATAGGTGACTAAGTACTTACAACGCTGCATCTGTCATTTATGTCTATACCAATATCTACATCTACAGCTGTATTTTATTTCTTTGCACATATTATAAACATAAGTGAATAAAGAAACAAATGAAAAATCTATATAGATATGTATTGGTATATTTATAGTACTTTTTTAGAGTTATATATACATGTCGCGAGATAAAGGTTTGGCTGCTCGATCTGCTCTTGCTTGTGCAGGTATCCACCTACACGAAGATCTATGCCAGATTCCACGTACACAGCGAAGCTCAGGGGAAGAATCCTATGCGACAGGCTGTCGCAGAGACTTTGGCTCATGCTTCTTCATATTATATAAGGAACCTTCGGGGGTAAAGGGGGAGGAGGGTTTAGGGTTTAGGGTTTAGAGGTTTAGGGTTTAGGGGTTTAGGGGTTTAGGGGTTTAGGGTTTAGGGTTTACGGGAGGAGGGTAGGGGGACTAGACTCCCGCAACGAGGCCCGGTATGATCACATCCATGTCTGCTGGCTGCTTACCTCAATGTAGTAGCCAGTGCTTGGCCAGAGCGCCCCAGGAGGACCCCACACCTGAAAGCCTTAACTCAACTCTAAGCCCTAACCCTGAACCCTA